ATTTCAGTCCTACAGTCTTCTCTGTAAAACTATGTAATTGACACTTTCATGTGTCCGTTTCAGTCCTACAGTCTTCTCTGTAAGACTATGGGTTTGACACTTTTATGTGTCCTTTTCAGTCCTACAGTCTTCTCTGCAAAACTATTGATTTGACACTCTCATGTGTCCTTTTCAGTCTTATGGTCTTCTCTGGAAGACTATGGGTTTGATACTTTCCCGTGTCCGTTTCAGTCCTATGGTCTTCTCTGTAAGACTATGGATTTGACACTTTCATGTGTCTGTTTCAGTCCTACAGTTTTCTCTCCAAAACTATTGATTTGACACTTACATGTGTCCATTTCAGTCCTACAGTCTTCTCTGTAAAACTGAAAAGAACACACATATATTTATAACTCATTATAAAAAAATTTCTAAATTAATAATATTGACAAGTGCTTGCACAAAAAAGATTACATTTAAACCTGAACCAACATAGAACAAATTTCAAAAAGTCATTACTTACAGCATTGTAAGAGAAAACTTCTAGAAGAAAACTGGTTACTATGCAGGTAATCCCCACAAAAAGGTTAATTACAATTAAGAAGATGTATGCCGTACTAGGTTCCTTAAACAGGAAGGCAACAGGATACATCACTGGAGTGATGGACCACCTACAGCAGAAAATACAATATCTAGCTAGTACCAAATGCTTATTTTCATGTACACAAGTCAATTCCTCACAGCAACACCAAAGCAGACTTGTTAATTACAGTAAGCTTGAACAACAATAAAAATAAAAGAATAGTAACTGAAGATAAATGACAAATTATGAAATCAAAATATAACTTGTGCCCTTAATTCATTCCCAAGACCAAGTCTTAGGCAAAATATTTGAATAAGTACAGTAAAGTCAAATGTTGTATTAGTTGCAGAATCAAAATAAGACAGCTAATCCATTAATCACCTGAATGAAAAAAAATTGTAAAAGTGTCTCATTAAGAAAGCTTATGCATTAAAACATAATAAATGTAACAACGGTAAACTATTCAGTCCTACTTTACAAGCACTGTACTTGCCTGTTCATATTTACTGACGTCTACATCAGACTTGTTGTAAATAATATGGATACTGTGTTTTTTGTTTTTTATTAATTTTCCATAAGGTTAAGATATTATGCACAAATTTTTAAATAATGTCTATTTTGTAGTTTCTTCTGGTCTGACAGCAAGTGAAAGAGGACTCACTTATAGTAAGGAAACATTACTTAACATTCCACATAAGAGAATCAAGTATTATAATAAAATAAATACTACCATGATGCCAGATTGACAAGTACTGTTACAATGAGTACTCCTTCACACCAAACACTTATCAGTGTCACAAAGGGAATGAACTTGAAAACTATAGCATAAGTATTTTAATAAAGAATAGTTGAGTGGGAGGAGAAACAAGAGGGAATTCTCAATAACTGTAGCTGTAAGCAGGTCTCAAATCGGTCAAGAGATGGAGCTACGAGCTAAAAGTTTGTATGTAGAAAAAAAAACAAAAAACTCAGAGCCATTCATTGAGCCGCTATGCTGTGGCTAAAAATATTTTAACTTTTGACTATTTTCAATTCAAACTGCAAAGTAACAGGAGATGTATTCAAAGAGGAAAAAAATTGTTTGACATCTTTGAATATGATTTTGAATTTGTTAATTTTAAAGAAGGACAACTTTTTTTAAACAATACCTCAAAAATAGAGCTTATACAACTGAATCTAATACATAACATTAAGTAAAAACCTATTTACAGAACTTATATCTGTTTAATGAACCTTATTATTCTTTGGAAAAGCTATTTCGCCAAATTTAGTTTAGCTTATGACAGCTTAAAAATGTAAATGAATCATTAAAATATAAACCCTAAGATAAGTTTGTGTAGTCGAGTATGTGTTTAGAAACACATAGAAAACTACCAGTTACTTTGTTAGCAATCAATCTATAGGAAGTAAGGTTTAAAACATATGCAATTTTATTATAGTGTAAATGGGCAGTACTGATTCAGACATACCGAGATCTTTCAAAATACTTTTAAGTTATTCATTAACTCAATATTGTCATGCATTAATCTTACTATACTTAAAAAATATCCAGAAAGTAGATAATGGTGTTTTCTAATTTATTTGTACTCCCAGCATCAACTTACCCATACATTAAAAAGAGAGACACAACAGCTGGGAAGTTTTTGTCCGAAGAGTATGCAGGAATGTCAAACACACGAAGAATGAGGATGCAACAAGTAGCGGGAACTACATAGTTACACTAGATGTGAATAGTGTTAAAAAAAAGTATAGATAATATACGTTAAAAAGTACTCAAATTTTGAAATATTTTTTAAGAACTAAAAATTCTGAAAAGAAATGCTAACTCTTTTGTTAAAACATTTATTTGGTGAAACACAAAAATCCTAGTGATACACAATTTCACATTAAATTTACACAGCCAGTATATTAACAGCATTAACTCTTTCAGCACAGGCTCAGTCCCTGGGACCAACCATTTTATGCTTGTTATAGTTTTCATGCTTTTTCGTTCTAGAATGACTACAAGTTATAACGTGAAACAACACAAATGTTTAGCCTAAATAGCTTAAATCTCATAACATTATATATTTATTATTTTTATTATATTGACGGGGCCATTGTGTTTAATTTGAAACCCCACAGAATCCTGTGACTAAGTCAAAGGCTCTAATTTGAAACCCCACAGAATCCTGTGACTAAGTCAAAGGCTCTAATTTGAAACCCCACAGAATCCTGTGACTAAGTCAAAGGCTTTAATTTGAAACCCCACAGAATCCTGTGACTAAGTCAAAGGCTTTAATTTGAAACACCACAGAATCCTGTGACTAAGTCAAAGGCTCTAATTTGAAACCGTTTCAAATTAGAGCCTTTGACTTAGTCACAGGATTCTGTGGGGTTTCAAATTAGAGCCTTTGACTTAGTCACAGGATTCTGTGGCCCACAGAATCCTGTGACTAAGTCAATGGTTCTAATTTTAAACACCACAGAAACCTATGACCAAGTTTTGAGTGACATTAATGTATTTGATATATAAATCCTGATCATTCTTTAATAGATATGAGAGATTGATTTCCAATTATTTTAGTTAATTAACCTCCACATGTTCAAAAAACTACTTTTTCTTCATAACATTTATGTTTTGAAACATGTTGATCTTAATTAACAATGAATCATTAGTGTAGGAGCATTTAGACTCCACAATAAACATTATATCATCATAATGAATCATTAGTGTTGGACTCCACAATAAACATTATACCATCATAATGAATCATTAGTGTTAGACTCCACAATAAACATTATATCATCATAATGAATCATTAGTGTTGGACTCCACAATAAACATTATACCATCATAATGAAGCATTAGTGTTAGACTCCACAATAAATATTATACCATCATAATGAATCATTAGTGTTAGACTCCACAATAACATTATATCATCATAACGAATCATTAATGTTAGACTCCATAATAACATTATATCATCATAATGAATCATTAGTGTTAGACTCCACAATAACATTATATCATCATAATGAATCATTAGTGTTAAGACTCCACAATAACATTACATCATCATAATGAATCATTAATGTTAGACTCCACAATAAGATATCATCATAATGATTCATTAATGTTAAGACTCCACAATAAGATATCATCATAATGAATCATTAATGTTAAGACTCCACAATAAGATATCATCATAATGAATCATTAGTGTTAGACTCCACATTAAGATATCATCATAATGAATCATTAGTGTTAGACTCCACAATAAGATATCATCACAATGAATCATTAATATTAACTCCACAATAAGATATAATCATAATGAATCATTAGTGTTAGACTCCACAATAAGATATCATCATAATGAATCATTAGTGTTAGACTCCACAATAAGATATCATCATAATGAATCATTAGTGTTAGACTCCACAATAACATTATATCATAATGAATCATTAGTGTTAGACTCCACAATAAGATATCATCATAATGAATCATTAGTGTTAGACTCCACAGTACCATTATATCATCATAATGAATCATTAGTGTTAGACTCCACAATACCATTATATCATCATAATGAATATTTAGTGTTAGACTCCACAATAACACCATTTGCTTACCATGTCCCAGAAGTAATTGCCCACCCAATAGACGACTGTATTAACTCCACTGATTGCTTGCAGGTGTCTGGCTTTGATGTATCTCTCATAAACCAGGAACAGGACAAAACTGGCTGGCACAAAGGACAATGCAACAATGATGAAGATTGCTATTAGAACATCAGTTCCTTGGAGGCTAAAACACATTTGAGAGAAAAAAAACGAAAAAAAAACTTTTTTTACCATGATGTTTTAATATTTCTAAGATAATCTTGTGTGTTTATAGACACCAGGTAGAAAGATTATTGTACAGCTCTGGTAGGTTTATTGTTATTTGTTAAGGTGTAATAAATTTGATCTTACACTTTTTAACCCTTGAATTACTGACTTATCTCTATACTGTTTATGAATGGTGGGATCCATATACTGCATCATGTTCAGTAACCTTATATTTTTGCCTGTTACCACACTCAGTTTAACAATTTACTAAAAATAAGTAGGATACTCCAACAGTACCAGCTGGGATTAAGTGCAATAATGATGGTATTTTTTATTGTAATTCATATGATATTAGGGACCCCATAACCAAAACATACAAGCAATTTGGGTATATCTAATCCAGAAAACTTACTTAAAATATTAAAATACATATGACACCAATCAGGAACTAATAAGATTAAGTCTAATACTGAAGGTATTTTCGTTCATAGATTTTTCGGTGTGACTTGTATATCATTACTCTAATAATCAAAAAGTCATGGACAAATAAATAATTTGATACATGATTAGTTCAGAAAATGTGTGTAAACATGTGAGTGAAATGTCATTTGCACAATAAATATTTTTGAACTAATAAACTAGAATAAACTCATTACCACCTATTGGGCTACTTTAGTTAAATAGTGGAATTTGATCATCACTCTTATAATGCACTAAAAGTTCCAAAAGTGTGGAGGATGATTTTGTGACATCTAGTCATGAATCATGAACTTTCAGACTCACAGTTTAACATGCACTAGACCACACTTGTCCCATGATTTTGTGGCAACTAGTCATGAATCATGAACTTTCAGACTCACAATCCAACATGCACTAGGCCACACTTGTCCCAAGAATATAAACAAAGGATAAAGTACACATAAACAAAACACATGTGATCATTAATACAAACTAAAACAGACCACAATTTTCTTCTTCTTCTTCACTTGATTATTTAAAACTATATTATTTTAGTACAATATTTTGTCTTTGATACATCTTTAAACCATGATTTTATGCATGTACTAAAAGTAAAAAGTAGTACCATTTCAAAGAAACAAATAAAAGACTTGAAGCAGCAGATAACTGGCTGATTAAAGGCCAGTTTTCACATCCATAAAATCTATATAAGCAAATTAAGAAAATGGGAACTTTTAACACATCTTTAAAAAACAACTGTAAAGAAACCCAAACCATTAAAAAACACCTTCAAAAACATTGTCGCATACCTCAACACAGATAAAATTAAAAATATAAAAACTACTCTGTTCAAACATAAGCAAAACATTAAGTAAGATTTTACTGAACTACTTACATCTGATCTTTGGAGGGCATGTAGGAGGTGTCAGTCATTGGATGGTTTATCACAGTTATTCCTGCATTAACAAAATAAATATAGTCTTATGGTTACTAGCACATAAATCATGTACTCTAATAACCCAACTATTGATTTGAGGTGTTAATACTTTCCTTATATATACTGCTTGATCACAATTATTTACCCTTTTTCACAAGAAATGTCTGTACTCATGATAATGGTTTTGTAGCTATTGAAAAATAAATATTATTAAATAAATTTTCAGCTTGTCCTTTTCATTACAATGCATATCTTTTAAAAACTATTGAGACAGTGGTGTTAAAGAAATAAACTTAAGTCATAGATTTTAATGTTTAATGATCTATAGGAAAAAAAAATATAGTTCCCAAGTTTCACTTTCTGTTTAGATAGGTGTTATTCTTTGTTTTTATTAAACATCTTCAAGAATTTTACATAAATCAATCCTATTTTTTTATTCATGAAAATTATAATAATAACACAATTTCTATCAATTAGAAAATAGTTTGATTGAAATGAAGTTGAAAAGTTATAATGCAAAAGCCAACTCTACTATCTTTAAAAACCAAACAAGGCTTGAACAAATATAAAAATTTTTTTCTCCTCAATGCATCTTTTTTTTTTTTTGCCATTACACTCAACACACTCTACTTCAATTGTCAATTTGTGTATGTTTTATTAAACTTCCTTTTAATTCACCTACCATAAGCTGATGGGTTTCCTTTCAGTTCAGGTAGATTAGCACGAAGGATGGCATTGTTCATGCTGTTAATATAGATAGGAATGCTGTGAAATCCTTTATTGTTGTACCATATCTGTAATGAAAGCATCAGAAATGTAAAAGACCTGTATTATTACTTAATATAATGTGCATTATTTTTAACTTAGATCAATAATAGTTTCATTAATTCATAATCTTTAAGATTTAAAATTTTTCTAAAAGCAGAAAAAAGTTAGTTATGTTGCCGTAATACATATATTAACAAATGCTGAATATTCAATTTACTTTAACAAATATAAAAAGATCCACAAGAATGAGAACTTGTGTTGTAATTACTTTTTGTTGGATGTTACTAAAGTTTTTGGTAAAATTATTCAATATTCTCTGTTTTTAATTAGTCATTCCCATCATCAATGTCAGTTGAAAATACACCGTTGTTTTATTCATCTTAGGGTGAAGGAGTAATAAACTAAACATACTCAAAATGATTCTTCTAAAGTGTAATATGACAAATCAAAATAATTTTGTTTTAATTTTCAGGCCATATATACTTGAAATAAATATCAAACTGGTCCAACATTTTGTAGCAATCCAAAAGAGAAATAACAAAATTTGAATTACATTTTAAAGCACAGACATAATATCAACTGTTAGTTTTTGCACTGTTCACACCTTATACCCGTCTTTGGAAGTTACTTTCTGAGGACCAAAACACCTCTAACACTATGAATACAGTAAAGAGAAAACATATTTAGTGTTATTTCAGCAACATATATTAGTGAAACTTCAATTCTAAGAACCTGAACTTACTTTGGCAATGTTACGAACAGCAATCTTCCTAAAAAGTGGAGGTGCATTTTCTCCAAAATTGGGAGGTACGTAATCTTTAACTAGGCCAAATGAAAAAGCTCCATATCTATATAAAACAAAATTTAAGTGTTGAAAAAAGAACTCAAAAACTTGTAATAAATATTAGGAAATGAATATCAATTTCTATACAAATAAGAATATAACAGCATAGGAGAATGGTAAATGCTGAAGAAATAATTTTTCATTTCTTTTTATCACAGTCATTTAAAGAAAGGTATTTAGAGTGCCGTACATTTAGTTCTGAAAGAAATTATAAAAGCCAAACATACAATGTAATAAAAAAAATCATACAATTCTCTCTGAACCTCATGTCCCATTATCAAACACAAGAATTAAATAACAAAAAAAACTGAAACTAAATGTAAAGAATAAAAGTACAGAGATCTTGTTTGTCTGCATGAATCGAGGCAATCAGCAATAAGTATTCCTTATGTTAAAGGCTGAATGTCAACACACTGACTGATCAAATGCTTACATAGTTTATTAATTAGCAACTCCCGGAAGAAGGATATGTTTCATTTAGATTTTGTTTGTTTTTGTTGGGGGGTGCTTTATTTTCTATGCAATAACTGCATCATAAAACACTTTAAAAATTAAAAGCTATTTATATTTTTTTCTTACAGAAATGTTGGACAAAAACTCTGGATATACTAGATTTACAGAAATTATTTCTGTTTTCTTATTTTCTGGTCAACATTACCACTATATTAAAACTTTAAGTTTGAATTTACTGTAGTTATAAAGCTATTTCTCAGTAGACATTCACATAGTATAATCTCTATGATTCTCCTTTATTTTACAAATATTATCTAAACTCACTCTGTATTGATTCAAAAGTTATAATTTTCCTATACTGAAAATGTATTTACGATAGGTACTTACCTCATTCAGTGCTGCCCTCTATGTTAAAATATTTTTTTTTACACATGCCACAAGCCTCGAAACTCCCACCCATCTGGAACTGACTAATTCCAATGTGTCTTGCATGCAAATTATCATGCAACAACTCTCCACCAATAAGAGCACGACACACTCTTAATGCATGCGACTCCCTCTATTCAATTCCACCGAACTATCAGTTCCAGTGTTAGCAGAAAATGATAGCACCGGTTTTCAGTGGGGATGAGGGGTGGAAAGGGTGAGAGGAGGTAAAGTACCTATCCAACATACATTTTCAGTATAGGAAAATTATAGCTTCGGATACAGTACATTACCTCCATTCACATAAATAGCTAGAATCACACATTGAATAGGTGGAGGGACCAGTATGAGGGAAAGAAAGAAGTATAGAAAGAACACTCCCCAAAAGGAGATCTTCAGAGTTGAAGATCATACATAGGAGACTGCACTACTTCTGAACCAGAAATACTCTTTGCCCATTGTGGAAAGATGTTGCATATATGGGCAGAAAGATGGAGGAGCACATCCAAATGGGAGAGAACTATGGCTGGATAGTGATCCAAACCATACATTATTTATCAAACTTAATTTCTGAAAACATAAAAGTGGGTAAGATTAAAAAATGTGCCCCTAGGTGTAGAGTGGCTAGGGCATGATGGACCATACACAGCAAGTCAACTACATCCAAAAATCATGCCAGTGGGAACTGATATCCACATGGAGGTAGGATGAGGATCATACCATTGGTAAGTCAACTACAAACCAAAACCCTGCCATCTAGAGGGGATATGAAAGAGGATCCTACCATCTTCATCTCAAGTTCATGAGACCGGAGGAAATCTTGTATCCCCTGACTTATGAACTAGCACATGATAACAATATGAGAAATTAAATGATCAATCTGAGAACTTGACATCCGGCATTGAAAAGATGTCTGTGGAATGTAAACCATCTCACTCAAAGATATAAGTGCAGTATCATCCTTGAAATAATAAGTATGGAAGAACAGTGGAAGGGGAAAAAACTGTAGTAATCTGCAAGTACCTCCACAATGACCCACAACACAGATGGAGTAAAAATAGTATAAGTGAGTGAGGAAATAGAGTGATACATGTTTGAGGACTTATGTTGATTGTTCAGATCTAAATCCAAAACCCAGCCACTGGAAACCGACATCCACGTGGGGGTGGGTTGAAGAATCTCAATCAAAGGGGTGAACTACAATTTCGACAGCTTACTCCCATGTTATATAGAGGAGGATATCACATCTACACCAGCAAAACACGACTGCCCTACTTTCAACTGAATGGTTTTATAATCATTTATACATATTATTTGTATTTCATTAACCAATTATGGAGGTTACCTCCATGGTCCACCACCCCAGTGGCTTGAAACTGGAAAGTGGTAAGGACTTTCAAACTCCACTAGAAAAAAAGGGGAAGAAAGTGCAGTGGAGAGTCCAGTGGAATGACAACACCTGAGACAATGCAATAGGTGACCACAAAACCCTATTTAGAAAAGCAGACCATACCAATTTATTCAATACATGGCATGGCAGAGATGAGCAGCTATCCCCTTCTGCTTTACCCATGTAGTACATAGGTGAGCATGGTCTGGACCGGGCAAACTAATGAAGGAAACATATCTTGAGGATAAACCTACAAGCGATCTTATGAAACACCCCATATCCACAGTGTGCATTATATGGCCATGGAATTATAAATGTCAAGTCATCATGGCCTTACAGTGCAGTTTTTAATAGTTTAACTATACCTGGACAAGCACCACTTGCTACAGAGCAAGATCCATAAAGAGAAAAAAAAAGAAGAGAGACATGCCTCTGAAAAACTGAAAAATAAGAGGTATATATACTAAAAGGTAACTTACTCAGTCACAGTCTCATGAAAGAGTGAAGGATGACAACAGGTGGATTACAGTGCCCTGACAAGGAAGAAACAAAACAGCTACCCAAAGCAGAGAATGGGAGATGAATGTATGAGATGTAAACCCAGTGCTCAACATACAAAGTACCTCCAATAGATGGCAGGGTAGGCATGCAGGGAAAAGGGCAGGTACATGATTGGAGAGAAGACATCAGGAAGTGATGATGAGAAGAAAGAGACATGGAATAAAGGTTCAATTGAATCACAATCCAAGCCCAATGGGTAAGGGAGGAAGTGAAAAAATTACAGACAAAGAAGTAGACTAAAAGGAGGAATATTGATAAGATACAGGTCATCAGAAAATGGGTTCAGCCATTATAGGAGGAAAGCAAGCAATACTGCAAGCAGATACAGTGGACCCGGCCCCCAGGGGCCCTCACAAACGAAATTAATGGTAACAAGTATAAACTATAAAGAAAGACAAAAATGAAATAGTCGATACAGCGGAAAAAGAATTAAGAAATTGTATAGTGAAATAAACATGTGCATGTAATGCTATGTGTTGAAGAAAAGATATTTAACCTAAGTATCGATTAACCCATAAATAGAACCATGGGTAAGCCAAAAATAATACATTTATTAAGCCTAATCGAACAAAATATTTAACCTAATTATTGATTAACCCGGAAGTAGAACTACAGGTAAACCGAAAATAAACATTGGTGAAGACTAATCAAACAATACAGAACAAAGGATATCACTAAAAGCTAAAATAAAAACTTAATCGAACAATAAGTATGTACAATATTGGGAGAAGTATGTATGGACCCCATCTCAAGGGTTCCACACAAACCAAGTGAATAAGAAGAAAGATAACAGATAAATAATAATGAAAATGATATACACGTGATTGTATAATTTTAAGGATGAGTGTAGTAACAATAACATATGTATGAGACATGTTGTATAGAAGAAAAAACAATATAGTTAAACTAATGATTGATATACCATTACCAGTAAGATGAATTAGAGCTAATCCTAAAATAACAAAGACCATGGTAAGCCTAAACAAATGGTATAGGAGAAAAGATACAACTAAGACTAATTGCTAACCTGAACTTAACTAGGACCATTAACCAATCTAATGAAACTTATGTTATGGAACCCAAATAACTACAGATAATAATATTAACAATAAAATTATTCAAACACCATAACAGTAGAACATATTATCTTTCCAAAGTCCAAAGCTGTATTTCAAATGCGTGGGCCCCTAAACTCGAGGCGAGGCCTGATGAAAGTCAGTTCATTGAACAATCAATCTCCCAGCGAAGTAAACCCAAAAATCTTCCTGCAGAATATTGCAACCCGAAGCCTGTGTAAATGTGCTAATAGAACATATAACCTCTGAAGTTGTAACAGAATTCATAATGCAAAATGAAAAACCAAACACAAATGTGTTGGCAGAAACAAATAAAAAGTTTTTGTAATGAAGTAATAAGTTCCTTAACTGGGTAGAAATATAAAATAATTCCACTATGAAATAACTCAACAAGTTACAAGTATCACTATTGTATAAGAAAGAGTAAACTTATTGAGAAAAATTAACACAAAGATACAGAAAAAATTAAAATAAAACACTTGAAGAGAGCACAAACTAAACATTGTAACATGAGAAGTGACAGTTGGTAGAATTGAATACAGGGAGTCTCATGCATTAAGAGAGTGTGTTGCACTCTTATTAGTGGAGGATTGTTGCATGATAATTTGCACTGGAATTAGTCAATCCAAATGGGTGGGAGTTTCAAGGCTTGTGGCATGCACAAACAAATATTTGCAGATAGAGGGCAGCACCGAATGAGAATAGGTAATGTATCGTATCAGAATTCCTCCACACTAGATATACGGTAACTTATAAATATACCATCACAAATTACTAGTTTTATTCCCCAGGCATTATGATCTATACATGAATTTGTTATTATTACTGATCTAATGATTTACTAAGAAGGACTTGTTGGATATTTGCATGCGTACCAGTGATTCCACTTTATCCTTAAAAGTATATTATTTCTTTTGGGTTACTATTCGTAATAAAACTGAGGTTTTAATTGTGTAATCTGGTAAAAACAGTACATAATGAAAAGTAGTATAACTCTGATTTAAATCTACCCTTGTATGTTACAACAGTTTATCAGGTCAGTAAGATCACAAGATCTTTGTTGAAACATTACTTACATCAGCAGCAAATGAGAAAAAAAAATTGCATTATGCTGAAACTGGTAAACGTGATAAAACATCACAATCTGCTGAAATCAATATTGCACAAATTCTACTTAATGTACAAAAAAATACATTTTTTACTTAAGTCAATTAATACTAAAAACGTAATTAAAGTCATATTGTGATACTTAAAGAAATGTTTAACTGTTCCTAACTCAAGGTGAAGTTTTCTGTTGTATTATTTTTGACTAAATCCATCTCCACAGTTCATGTCTCGCATTATATATTTAATCTAACAGTTGTATCATAGCCTCTTCCTGATACAGAAATAAGTAAATACATCAACATGATAAAAATTTTTTTTTTTTTAGATGTTAATAAAATAACTCAAGGTATACGATGGTTCATAATCAAATACTGCTCACATAAATAAATTAATTAAATACCTAACCTTTCCTATTTAAAATAAGTATCTCTATTATGGAAATAAACTCCTTGAAGAGATAGAAAAAATAAAATATTACTGAATTAGTAATAAGAATATGCTCAACATACTTAAAATTCAAGCAAACTTTTTTCAATATTTATGGAATTTACCTGTAAGAGTAATAAACTACCAAACAGCTTGACTTATTCACTCAAGAATTAAAATTACAGAGTCAAAATTTTGCTTTTTGTTCTAAATTGTGTAATAAATTACTGGTAGATACTTTCACATCAGTAACTTCAAATGCAACATTTAATACAAAGACTGCCTTTTTATATTGACCTTAGCCAAGATCTTGAAATAATATGAATGGATGGCTTTATCGTATGCACCTCAATATAACTTACTACTTAAATTATAAAGTCATATTGTTGGTTTGTAAACTTGCAACATCAATTACAGATTTTTTGCATTACATCATAGATAATTTCCATTAAAAGAGTAAATGGATAAAATTATCTAAATCAATGAATCCCAGGATCAAACATACCTTCGTAGCCTAAACATGTCAGTTGTATAAAGATAATACTCGTGCTCATTCTGTCCACTGATGTCAAGAAGAATATCACCTGTCACCGCTTTGAAAAAAGGGGGATCTTTGTACCCATAAGATTGACATATAAATCCTGTTTTGTCCTTAGAGCAATGGCAATAGGGATAGTACCTGTCTTTACTGCCAGGAGGCACTGTCAACAGATAACAGTTTGCTTTTACAAAAGAAATGAGAGAGAAAGAGAGAGAGAACTGTCTTCAAAATTTTTTAACACTTCATTCTACAAGTTAAGAATATAAATTATTTTGAAAAAAAATAAAAACCACCTTATCTGAATTTTGAATATTATTTATAAATACAAGAAAGAGTTCACCATAATGATTCTTAATATATTTATTATCACAAGCTTTAATGCCTTATCTGAACATTAATTGAATATTCCCAATATTTTCAATATGATGTGTTGAAACTAAAATATGCTAAGCAATCATGATGATGGCAAAATAAGCAAAATGTGTGCAAAATCCAATATTTAGATAAATCTGATTATCCATAAAACACTTACATACGACTTTTTTCCAATTAAATTTACCCTGTTAAACCTTCAAACACCTCACAAAACAAAACTTTTGACTGTAGACCTACTTCAGAATATCATGTACTACATATGAGGTTAAAATACAGCAGTTTAGTGATGGTTTAAACCAATCAAAGTATATTCATTACGTTAGGAAAACATCAGGTTTAAAAAATCAATTTATGACGAAAATACAAAACTCTATAGCCTAAGTGCTGAGACTATGATATAGAAAGGTCTACCTTTGTAAAATACTCAGGTTAGGCAGTTCTGTATTTCTGTCTTATATAAGTTTTATACTTTTTTTTTGTTTTAAATCACAGGTAACTATTTGTGAATTGGAAGAAAAAGAGTCCATTTTATAACCAAAATATATTTCTGTAAATAAATATTAAATAGTAACACAAAAATTATCAAATTCTTACTGTACAAAAAACAAACAAAAGTTACATTATAAGAGAATAACTATATATATTTACATCATGTAAATTGTACTAATTACCAATTCTCTCTCTAATGTTTGGGTGTTACCTGTAGGTATTACAAGCATTAATTATTCTATAAATCAATGCCAATTGAAATGTTAAGTCTATTAATTCTTGACAATGTCTATCTGTGAAAGAAATCAAATCAGAAAAAGTTAAAACAGATTAGCATAAAAGACAGTCTTTCTTCTGAATCATGTCTACTATTTAAAACAATAACTGCTGTCTATAAGTAATTGGTTACTTATCAAAATATTGAAAATATACACATATGTATTTCAAGAATTCATGCTCAAAATAAGTAGAGCAAAAGATAAATGATGTATAGTCCATCTAAGAAAACTGGAAGCAAAGTTAATACTTCAGTCCATGTAGCTGAGCTTTATTTGGTCAAAAACAATTAAAAAAAATCCATACCTGTCTTGCAAATTCATACCTCGTGGTATGAAAGAAATTATATGAATAAAAACAAACAATACCAGCAACTTGTTCATAAAAACTATGCAAGGATAAAAGTATGTAGGAAAAATTTTTTGAACAAATAGGAAGAATTTTATAGTAAGTAGAGCAATATATATATGACTTAGTTTTACACAACAAGTTGTCTTTTTTGGAGCTCCCTTATTATAAGTGTCATCTAACATAAAGCACATGTCCAGGTTACCAATTATTATTCTGCATTTTGGTTGTTAAGTTTCTGCATATTCTAAAAGGTTTGTGTAAATAATTATGAAAACATTAACTTGTTATTTAAAGTGAACTAAAGGACCACAAAATATTTCCTTCACTTTTATTTATTAAGTAAAATAAGCCCTATTACATCATATCATCACACATCTTCATTTTATTTATTTGATCATCAATCACAAGATATTACAACTAGCTTTCTTCACTTTGTCACTGACATGCATGGTCTTTAGGATTCAAAATTATATAGGCCGCAAGGAGACTTGGAACTTATGTCACAATATCCTTTCCTCCCCAACAAACCATTTATGGATAATATAGCAATTTTCCTTTAAGAATTGGAAAGAAAAAATTAGGAAAAGCAGGGTCACTGGGAGGACTGACAATAGTTAAATCCTTTAGACATATAAAATTACTTATTATCTTAATGAAGTTGAACTGGATAGACAACCAATTACAAGTTTTAGATATCTACTAACTTGTGGTCAGGATCCAGGATCCATTTTCTCTTCCACTGTGTGTATAAAGATCATCTTTTTCAAAAGGGCTGACGGTAGGCAGTGGTGGAACAAAATTTTCTAAAGGGAGGCCTGGCACAAAAACACTTTGACACATGGGCTCAAAAAAGGCAGAAAGCAATTCAAAGTTCCTCACAGAAAAATTGAGCTTATGACTGTCAAAGCTATTATTGAAGGGTGACTTGAGCACACAAGTTGCCCCCACACCAGAGGGCATATGAAGAGTTCTGACTAAGTCATTAGAAAGAGCATCTTTAGACCACCTGGAAAAGAAAGTTTTGTAATAATATTCACAGAAATATCAGTAGTTTTAAAAATCTTAATATAAAAATTTAAACAAGAAGGTAAAATAGTTATGACCCAAAATGAAATACATTTAACCCTCTCACCATGGGCTAGGTGGATTAAACCAACCTTGTGACCCCAAAGTGACCATCAGTTTCTGTACTATAGCTTTTAATATGTTTTGTGCATCTCCACAAAATTTGGCAAACTTTTAGCAAACATTACAAGTCTTTTGTAAACAACAACAACAAAAAAAAAGATTTTTTAAATAAGTATTTTTACTAAAATTTGTCCATGAATATATGGAGTTAGACTGTTGACTGATTTACATAATCTTGAAAACCTCATAAATATGAAACTTTTTTAGTAAAACTTTATATTTTATCTATGTTTTCTCTTACTCTATATGCATTTAGTAAGTTTGATGGACCTTGTAACCACCATAAAAGAAAAAAGAAATAATTCAAAATTACCCTTTTTTCTTTCTAGAATGACTGGATATTGTAACAGGAAACTAGAATTGTTTAACCTAAATAGCTTAAAGTCATGGTTACTTTGGTGGTTATGGGCTGGGTGCAATGCACACAGACCCATAGTCAAAGAGTTAAAAGAATCAAACATATGAATACTGTTACGAAGAATAGTCACACTATAACTTTTGATAACGTATGTGTATCTTCACAAAACTTTGCATTTTATCAGTAAACATTACAAGGCTTTCATACACAAAATATAAAGGTTTTTTAATTAAGTATATTCAGATTTTTAATTAAAGATTTGCTTTTAAAATATTTACTATCACATGGAAAGTAAATTTGATTTTAAGATTAAAAATACTTTTCTTCATCTCAAAATTGTCAAATTTCCTTTATGTAATGATCAAAATCTTTTATAGAAAACTATATTTTATCTGTTATTTTCCTTACTGTAACTCTGTATGAGATTAGTCAATTTGACTGACTTCGTAACCACCATAACAATTAGGAAATACCTCTAAATTACCCTTTTTCCCTTAAAGAATTGTAACAGGAAACCCCAAGTGTTTATTTTAAATAGCTTAAATCTCTTAATAGTATACATCTATTTATATTTATTAATTTTTTGTTTTATTGGCTTTTGAACCGTCTCTGGCTAACAATACTCCCATACAAGTTGTATATCATGTGGAACACATTCAGCTCTCAAATAGCATAAATCTGGCCTTTACAAAGTAGAAATCTCTAGTTATAGGCTTTTGTAAAAATACAATCAAAGTTTGGTTTCTATCCTTTACATATGTATATATATGTTATTATTATTTATAAATAAATTTCAGTTTTCTTAAAACATAGACTGGTAAATAAAAAACAATGATTTCTATTACTTGCGATGTTAGGAAGTTTCTTTGTACTCATGTGTTGTACTTACTAAGCCTTGTCGAATTTCACATGTGGAAGAATGTAAAAGAAACAAAAATTGTAGGTTTTATATATGCATTTTGAAACAACAAAAAAAAATTATAAGTTCCTATACTATTACTACAAAATTGCACTGTAACTAAGGCTTTATAAGTAAGCTATAGTTAGGTCTAAAAACTCTCATTTCTGATCACCATTTCACCTTGACTCCACTCTTCATACTTACAACAGAAAATATGGCTTTACCCACATAAATACTTTATCAAGACTGGCAGAATTATGTAGCTCAGCAAGAGTGCTTTTGACTGGTTATAAACATGTAATTGAGAGAAGTGGGTGTACGTAGACAAGTATTTCCAAAAGAGGAAGAGGTGGGCAGAGCCACTGTGATGGATTCTCTAAATATAATATCTCAGTAAATAGAAAAAGTATGAGGTTTGTATTTCATATTCTAGCTTGTCAATATTGGTGATTTGAGTTTTGTAAGAACCTATGGACATTGTATTGTGGGTATCATAAAATGTAATCTGAACAAAAGCAGTAGCTAACGTACCACATGACACACAAAAATCGATATTTAGTAAATATTTTTAAATATTTACTTTTAAAATAAGAAATTAAATAATGTATAATACTAAAATTTGAATTATAAACTACAATTTTGTGCCAAATTTATTGACATACATTCATAAAATAGTTGTCTAGTAAAATTTTAAATGTAATTGTACAAATGTGATGGCATGCCCTTCAACCGCTAGCCATAGCGATAAGGGTTAAATTAAAATATTATTTTTTATTGCACTTTGTTTGTTTGTTTTGAATTTCACGCAAAGCTACACGAGGGCTATCTGCGCTAGCTGTCCATAATTTAGCAGTGTAAGACTAGAGGGATGGCAGCTAGTCATCACCACCAACTCTTGGGCTACTCTATTACCAATTAATAGTGGGATTGACTGTCACATTATAACACCCCAAGGCTGAAAGATCGAGCATGTTTGGTGTAACGGGAATTTGAACCCATGACCCGCAGATTGAGAGTCAAGCGCCCTAATCACCTGGCCATGCCGAGCCCTGATTGCACTTTGATCCATGTCTAACTAATAATTCCACCACACAAGTTTTAAATCACTCGGCAAATGCATAGCTCAAGTTACTGTAATGAATTGTGTAATGCAAGAGCTATTCGCTAGCATAACTCGTGAATAATTATTAGTTATTTTTATTATCTTACCTGATCTAAACCTAATAAGTTCCTATTTTTTAAATTTTAGTTACATTTATAAGAATAAATAAAGACGAAGAACAAGAAGTATGGTATTTACATGTGTCCTGTTGTTTATTTGTTGCACACGAAAGTTAAGCACACTGTTATTTTTCATTATCTTACCTAATCTAAACCTAATAAATTCCTAATTTTTTAATTTTAGTTACATTTATAATAATAAATAAAGAATAAAGACGAAGAACAAGAAGTATGGTATTTATATGTGTCATGTTGTGTATTTGTTGTTGACGAAAGTTAAGCATACTGTTATTTCTTATTTATACTAATGGTACTAGTACACTAAATAATTTTATTTACTTACATAAAATACTTAAGAACATACAATAATAACACCCACAAAGGAACCAATGTCCTATAATTATCATAATTTTTCTGGATTTCTAACTATATGATAAGAGCCTTGAAAAATTTAGCTAAACTTGTTGATGTGAATATTGTGAGAGAAATTTTCAAACTGTAGGTGAAATAGATAATACTTTTTAGAGAAAACACTGTAATATAGTATGTCATTTGATGGATTAAAAATTTGGCTTTCTATTGGTTATAGAATATCAGAGAGAACTTATGGCAATTTGTGAAAAAGAGGATGGGACATGTGGGTGTGGCAATAAGTCTGATTCTATAGTTTAGGGCTCTGTAAACAAATGATATCAAAGGCTATAAAAATTATGCTTTGCCTGAGTAATTTATGTTAAATTCCATACTTCTCAAAGGGGTGTTAAATAAATTAGAAAAGAGGGAAGACCAAGAGAATTTTTTTTTTTTTTTTACAAAATTAAAATTTGATTTATTAACTAAGTTTAAAGCAATTTGATTTGTATACAATGATAATAAAGTGGTTTAATTAAACTTTGAATGTAACTCTAAAAACTGTGACATGCAGTTTGACCTACCCATAGCAAGAGGGTTAAAATTTACCTTATAATTAAATTGTTTGTTTTGTTGTATTAGTATAAAGCTAAACAATGAGTTATCTTTTTACTATTTATAACACTAAATTTCCATGATGTGGAATTTCTTCAACAAAGTAATGAGGCAATATCTTAATTTCTTCAACAAAGTAATGAGGACTTTGTTGAAGAAATTAAGATATTGTCTCATTACTTTGTTGAAGAAATTAAGATATTGAATGAGACAATATCTTAATTTCTTCAACAAAGTAATGAGACAATATCTTAATTTCTTCAACAAAGTAATGAGACAATATCTTAATTTCTTCAACAAAGTAATGAGACAATATCTTAATTTCTTCAACAAAGTAATGAGACAATATCTTAATTTCTTCTACAAAGTAATGAGGCAATATCTTAATTAATGGCTTTTATATCAAAATGTTCATTTTAAAACAAATTTAGCCTGCTAATAATTTTTCCAGGTGTGCCTGATATTCTATTTCCTAGAATATTACAACAAAATTACAAATCTTCAATTGTAAAATTCTTTCAGTTAAAAAACTTGAGAATTTCTTATTCTATTATATATATATCTCTTTAAATATAAATTTATGCATTGCCTTGTTCCATTACCCAGACTATTTTTGGTTGCTCTTTATGAATTATACTTGCATGTTTCTGTTGTTAGTTTCACAACTCGCTACTGTATAATGAAATGTAAACAAGGAAAAATACATGATTTTTCTTATCATAAACTATACATTTTACATTATCAACAAAATACTTTACATAAACCCTACTGAAACGAAAAATTACAACTTTCTGCACTGAAATGAGTCAGTCATTTAATATTAAAATAACCAATACAGTGCATTAACAATACACAATAATCATATTATGAATTAACTTGCCAACTTACTTTGGATATAGTTCATCTTGATTATGATTTGCATAAGATATGACGTTACCATCAGGTTGGGTGTAATTGTAGTACTGAGAAGGACTAAGAAAGATTGGTGGTAGGTCTTCTATATTGGGTGCTGTGAGGGCAACAGACATAGCAACAATCACAAAGAAGGCCGGCAGTAGAATTTGAGAAAATAAGCCCTTCCAATTTCGTCTTGTGCAGTAGTAACGTTTTGTCAAAATAGCTAAAAACTGCTGAATCAGAAGAAACTTCCCATGGACCTGATAGGATCCTGCTCCTTCCCAGACACTGATAGTCTCAGTTGATGCTAAAAAATAATAAAGTATATATCTTTAAGAACACAGATGACGTAAAACAACTAATAGAAACTATGATGATATAGACCAGAAAAGTTCTTAAAGCAGAGTAAATAATAGTAAAATATTGTATATACTATGCAGCATAAAATCTGACTAAAAGAAAACACAAATATTAAGCAAGACTTAAAATAAAATAGTGACCTTTGCTTCTTATTTTGGCATTGTTGAAGTGAAAGAAAAAAAAAATTGGCATATTACAAAATTAAGTAATTCATGTCACAATGTTCAACATTTAAAATATTTAATCTGAAGCACTAATACAAACTTTGAAATTGGTTGGAGTTTAAACTAAAACAAGCTATAGAAAATCACATAAACCATGTTTAACCTACTTTGTTCCTGGTTACCCTCTGCTACATTATAAAATTCATCTTGGTTGTTTCCAAATGTATCATCCAGAACTTCACCTTCAGGAACTGCCTTTCCAACCCCTTCATGACACTTGCTACCTTCTATTAGAGGAACACTACTGTTGATGGTGTCTCCACTCTCATGTGGCTCAGTTTGTTTATCATCTGATTTCATTTCAAATAAAGAAGTAAAATCTTTGACAGGGGAGCTCTTGTGACTGCTTCTGTTGGATTTGTAACTACCTGAACTTGAACTAACTACAAAATGAAACACACAAAGTAAAAGGACTTACAGATGTAAATATCATACTCTCTTTTAACTGAATAAACACAAAAATCGTCTACAAACTATCATATTTCTTAAGTTATCAACTAAAATCAATTTTCAAATTTTTTTAATCTTTAATGCAATTAGAACATTTTAAAGTATATACTGTTAGCAAATGCTGTAATACTCAAAGTGATTATTTGAGTAACATTCAAATTTCAATTATCTCATTTAATTTCTCTTACAGTAAATATTCTTTTCCAGAAAACATTTAATTAGCAATAAATACTTTGATATTTACCCAATCCACTTTGAGCTACCTGCAGAAATATCTCCTCAAGAGTAGTGTTTTTGATACCATAGCTAGACACTCCCAGTTCACTTAAGTTAATCTCCAGAGCTTTGAAAAGTTTCTCAAAACTACCCTTTCTCAGCTCTTCTGTCGGAAGAACGTAATGCAATTCATGTTTACTTTCGGATACCAGTGTGGCCATAGAAACCTGTCGCTTTATGAAGGAGGTCACTTTGGATTCTGAGCAATCTAAAGAAGGAAGAAAAGTATTTATAACAAAAAAAAATAAAAGAAAATATGAATCTGACTAAGAATTGTTCTTAGTTATTTAGAAAATACTTAAATTTAGTATCATGGACAAGCATCTTTCTGGTACAATTAATTTTGCTTAGTTTGATAAAATAAAATTAGTCAAGGACTGCATTTTTATATTGAGTGTTAACATTTTACCCACAAATGTACGTTTCACTCCGTACATCAATAACAGTACTGTAAGAATGACTCCTTCTCTGCTGGTTAATTTGGCATATATTTCAAGAAGCTGTGTGAAAATAAACAATTTTACATAAGTTGAAACACAGACCAAAAGGTATTTAGGATCATAAAATTAATCAGAAGATTGTTACTTATACAGTAGTTTCTTCTTGTCTTGCACTCCCTCCTTTAAACTATTTCATTCATTACAGCATTAAGCTACTAAAAATCGAAAGTTGTGTGTCAGAATATACAGCATATTTTTATCAAAATACATTAAAAACATTTTAAATCTAACATAATCTTTGCACCAATGTGTAATGTTTTTGGCTCACTTACTACTTAAAACTGGGGATTCATCATCAGCACTAGAAACTTTTTTAACCAGAAACAGGTGGTATCCTTCTCCAAGGTTGTTTTTAAGAAATAACGATGTACCACAACATCTCAATTGGCCATTGGTAATGATGGCAATTCGGTCTCCCAACACGTCTGCTTCATCCATGTGATGAGTTGTCATTAAGATTGTGCGTTCTGTTATGAAAATGATTAAAAACTTTGTATTAAATATTGATATAAAAATTACATTTCTAAGCAATTCACAGTCTATCACTGATTAAATTTGATCATTTTTAATTTTGTATATGAGCAAAACTATTTAAATAAATGTTGCTTACCTCATACTTGTAATTGTTCACGAACATTTGCAAATTGTGTTTATGAAATATTTATGTCCTCATTAATGTTATACTATATGTTTAAGTCCCCCTCAATTTGATGATACAGATTGGGGCAAATTTTTTTTGTACAAGTGATCTTTTGACCTTGAACTTTGACTCATGATCTTCAAAATATCCATTCATCCTCAGTACATAAGGCAAAACATCCCCCCCTCATTCAACAGGCAGTTGCAGTCCATTCAAGTTCTGAGACTTACTATATCTAATTTACCTAAAGTTCCACTGAAACAAAAACCACTCCTTCTGTGTTGAAATATCATTTAGGTTATAGAAGATTTTCAATGTGCCACTGACCTTTTGACCTATGACCTTCAAAAGCTGAAAAGGTCTAGAACTTTGTACTTAAAACTTATTGTTTAAGTTTGGTCAAAATCCATTTATTAAATCTTGAGATATCCTGCCCATAAGGTTGGAAAATATGGTCAGAAGCAAACCAATATACTCTGCTCTGCAATGCTTTGCAGTAGGGGGCTTAAAATACAATTTTTTGATCAGAAGTTCACAGGTGAATCACATATCAAAAATAAAAGGATGTCTTTATCATACAAAACAGTTCAATCTTTGAAAGCAGCCTGTTCTTAAAGCAGATGACCACTATTTATCATAGATGATTTTATTATTATAAAGATAAGTTTAAAAAGTTAATTAAGAAGCCATAATATCTGCTGAAAACCGAGCATTAGCAAAGAACAACAACAGCCAGGGAAAGTGAGACAAATAACCTTAACAAACAACAACAGACAGGAAAAGTGAGACAAAGAACTATAACAAAGAACAAGAACAGACATGGAAAGTGAGACAAACCACTGTAACAAAGAAAAACAACATGAGACAGGAAAAGAGAGACAAAGAACTATAACAAAGAACAAGAACAGACAGGGAAAGTGAGACAAACCACTGTAACAAAGAAAAACAACATAACACAGGAAAAGAGAGACAAACAACTATAACAAAGAACAACAGACAGGGAAAGTGGAAAAAAAACAACTATAACAAAGAACAACAGACAGGGAAAGTGGAAAAAAAAACAACTATAACAAAGAACAACAGACAGGGAAAGTGGAAAAAAAAACAACTATAACAAAGAACAACAGACAGGGAAAGTGAAAAAAAAACAACTATAACAAAGAACAACAACAGACAGGAAAAGTGAGACTGTCACTTTAGTTTTTGGATTCAGAACTAACCCAAATCTCCTAAGTTAGACAAATTTTGTGAATTATTATTGGGGTTATGGCTAAAACTATCACTCACTGAGGGTACCCAAATGATGAATCACTGTTTACACTTTGTATCATTGTGAAGTAATTAGTATTTAATTCAATTTTATCAACATATCAACAAAATTCATCAGTGATCTAATTATTAAAACTTCTAAGAAGCCACACATAGATATTAACATGAACAAAAGTTTTTAACAAGTCATTTTAAAACTATTGGGTATCTGCTAGCACTGAAAAACAACAAACCTTTCTTATACTTGATGATAAAATCCCAGATTGCTCTCCTGGAGTAGGGGTCCACCCCAGCAGTAGGTTCATCAAGAATTACAACACGAGGACCTCCGATAAAAGCAATGGCTACTGACAATTTTCTCTTCATTCCACCAGAGAGATACTCAACTTTACTATGTCTTTTTAGAGGAAGATTTAAATCATCAATCATCCTGAAAGGATACCAAATCACTTATTTATTATATATTAACAGTAATGCATAGACCAACAGTTAGTCTATATCATAAAACTATTTCAGCACATACAACTTCATAATTACACTTGAGAGTAGACTAAGAACATGTATCACCTACATGTAAACAGATGATATTTAAATGAAAAGCGTGCAAAAAAGGTGATGGACTGCAAGACAACTTATTATCCCCATCACCCTGGGTACCCTTTACTGCGCATGACACAAGATTTTAGTGTCTTACATTCAAAATTTTATTAAACTACTTCTTGTTTATGTTATACCAATTAGAATAGCATAAAATCTTAGCTAATAATCCATATTTTAATAGTATACAAGTTTTAAGTTCTTAATTATAAAAGGCAATATTAAAAAAATCCTCAATTTCTGCTAGTGTGACCCATGTGACACAGTTTCTCTTAGCTTGTCATCATCCCTATTTTATCCACCACCCCTCGAAAATGTACGAAATTAAATGTACAATACTCTCTATAAAATTGATATTGTTGAAACAAACCATAATTTTTATAGCCTTCAATTTTGCTTGGTTACAGAGCTATTGAATATAAAATTAGACACTACTACCACAGCCACCTGTCACATCCTCTCTCTCACATTTCACTGATATTTCTTTCTTAAGTTTCATTATATATTACCTATAACCAATAGAAAGTCAAGGTTTTCATCTGTCAAATGACATATTGTATTACATTGTGTTCGGAACAGAATATCATCAATTTCACTCACAATACAAGATTCGTTCTTGTGGGAAAGTTAACTACTAGATGGATGAGTTTGTAATGGCTCTTGTTG